GAGTAGGAAGGGGAGAGAATAATCTTGCATGCCCTCTTTTGCACTTTTTCTAGGTGTTTACGTTGTGTGGCATTTAGGGAGGAAGACCAGGTGGGGAGGCATAGGTGAGCTTGGGAAGTATGAATGTTGTGTATACACTGAGGAGCTCGTGTGCAGGAACTCCGAGGGACTTGAGTCGGACTTGAGCCCCTTGAGATGCTAATACACCTCAATTAGGTCACCCCTTGCCTGTCTGTAGTATAAGCTAGGCAAGTTGAGGCGCTCCAATCTCTCAGGGTAGCTAAGGTGCCGAAGGGCAGGCACCAGTGTGGTGGGCCTCCTTCGAACATTTTCAACCAACTGACAGTCCCTAGCAAATCTCGGGGACCAGACGGGGTATCAGTACTCCAGATGGGGAAGCACCTCACTCTTGAAGATCGTTACGAGGGACGGACCGTCTAGATATCTGAACGACCTTCTTATAAGACCCAATAATTTATTTGCCTGATTTACCTTCTTCTCACAATGGCCCGAGAACTTCAGCTCATTGTCAACATACACACCTAGGTCCTTCTCACATTCAGTCTCAAATAGTGCAGTTTCTTCATCCCGTTTGGACATATGATATGCCTCCTTACCGTTGGTACGCCCCAGGTGCATCCTCTTACACTTCGTGACATTGAATCTCAGCAGCCATTTCTTCGACCATTCTTGGAGCCCACAGAGGTCCTTCTGCAGCTCTTCACATTCCGCTTGGTTCTTGATTTCCCGAAATAACTTGGCGTCATCGGCATACATTTGTATGGAGGAGTGTACAACGTCAGGCATGTCATTTATGAAACAAACAAACAACAGCGGGCCCAATACACTGACCTGTGGTACTCCGCCTGTGACAGGTACGGATGATGATTTCGTGCCATTAATCACCACACACTGCTTGCGGTCATGTAGAAAGTTCTATCCACGCTAGGACATTTCCCCGAATTCCGTACCCTTCCGGTTTGATTTTCAGCCTTTCGTGGGGTACACTGTCGAAAGCCTTGGCAAAATCTAGGTAAATATTGTCGATATTACCTCCCCGTTCTAGAATATGGGTCCAAATATCCAATACCTTGAGCAATTGTGTTAAGAAGGAGCGCCCCGGCATAAAACCGTGTTGGCAATCCTTTACAAGGTTGTTTCGTAGTAGATGTTCCATCGCGGCATCTCGATAATACTCTCAAGTACAGTACTTTACATATTATGCTGGTCAGGCTCACCGGTCTATAGTTGTTCGTGGAGTGACGGTCGCCCCTCTTGAAGATAGGACTCACATAAGCCACTTTCCATTCACTGGGAACCTTTCGTTCATCCAGACATTTACAAAACAGGATCTTCAGGGTCTCGGCAAGCTCGTTGCTTAACTCTCTTAGCACTCTAGGATGCACCATGTCAGGGCCGGGACTCTTATGAACCTTTAGCTTTGACAGTTTATTTCTAATACCCTCTTCTGTGAACACAATGTGAGTCAGTGCTCTGTCGAACCGTCTGTCCTCAAACGCAGAAAGGTTAATCGCATCCTCTCTTGTGAACACCTTGGAAAAGAAGCTGTTCAATGCCTCAGCTTTATCCTGGTCAGAATCTGCGTAACTACCATCTTCAAGCCTCAGGTCTGATACTCTTACTCGCGTTTTTAATTTCGGCTTTGCATAGCGGTAAAACGCCTTTGGGTTTGACTTGACCTCGCTTGCAACCAGCCTCTGGAACTCCTTTTCAGCCCTTCTACATTCTATCTTTGCTTGGTTTCTGGCTCTTGCATACATCCTCCTGTCCTGCTTATCATTTGACCCAACCCATGTCTTGAATTTCTGGGGTTTCTACTTAACTTTGTCGACCGCTGCATGGTTCATGTGTAGGGATCCCCTCGTATTCCTAGAGGCACTGGGTTTGGTCTTGGGTATATATTTATCGATGAAATGGGTCACTTTACTAGTTATGGTATTCAGCGTAGTGTCTGCGTTCTTGTGGCTTAATGAGTCAGGCCAGTGGATACCCCTCATCTCTTCCCTCATCCCGTTGTAATTTCCCCTGTAATATTTGCACCTTGGCCTGGCCTTATCTTGAACTAGGTGACAGTTAAATCTGAATGACAACACTATATGGTGACTGGTGCCAACTCGGGCAAGGTGTTCCAGTTTGGCCACCATACCCTCCTCGTTTGTTATGATGAGGTCTAGTGGCTTGGGTGTTTGCTCCCCTCTGTAATGTGTCTGGTCTCTAACATGTTGGAACAGAAATTTATCTCTCAGAGTTTCTACAAAAAGAGTAGCCGGGTTATTCAAGTCATTTGGGGTGAACTTGTTTCTCCAGTCGATGTTGCCATAGTTAAAGTCCCCCATGATCAGGAGGTGGCTAGGGTTGAGCATCGCCGCGTGTGTATTGGTACCCTGCAATAAATAGTATATACTGCACTTTACTCTTTCAGTTAAGATGTGGTTATAAGTAAAGTATCGGGCGTCTGTTGACATACAGACACAAGTCATCACACACAAAGGCAGGTTTCACCTTCATGTTGCTTCAAGAGTCACGCCTGAGCGAGATATCTCCCTCAGTTATCTCACTCACATGAAAAGGTAAAATAAAACTCATTCCTGGAACTAAAAATTTGTTGATATAATTACCATACAATCCGGTTGGATGCTACATCAGTTTTGTTGTTTTAATAAGTCAGTGATCTGTTGTAGGACCAACAATTAGTTTTCCGAGTCAGTTTTTTCTTCTAAATTCTAGAATTTCTATTGGCAAGTATTTCTTAAAAAGCTGATGAAATGTTGTCAGTTTTGTGGCTATACCACATGAAAAAATAAATGCCAATTTCTCTGTCATTGAAACATATGACAAACAATACAAACGCTGCAAGTACAAATTAGTGCAAAAAAGTTATGAAGGAAATCTGTCTTGTGTTAAATGTACTTGAACTTCTCTTTGGATGACAATGGTTTTGTATACAAAAATAATACGATACCAAATAGTAACTTTTGGGTAAAAAATACATTTGAATAGTGTTGTTCAGCCATGGATACAGAGTGATGTTTACACCGGCAGTAGAGGTTCACCTGACTCACATGTTTGTCTTTCATGTAAGTCACAACCAAATGCCTAATTCTTTTAGAAAAACATCTTGAAACTTGTGTTCAAATATTACTATAAGAGAGCAAATTTACCTGTATCTTTGAAAGGTTCTCAGACTGCCACATTAAGCAGAAAAGAAAGACGCGAGTCATCACGGTATAGTTCTCGTCAGTTGCACGTCACCACAACTCAAATATTACACTGGATATAGCAGCGTGTCTGAGGATATGCTGGCTTCTCGTCAACACTTGTACTCCTCCATGAGTGTGAGCTGAGGACACAGCACGGTGGTGTACTGAGGAACAGCTGCTCGGGTGTCCGTGAGCTGGGCTGTGTAACAAGGTGAATGGTGGGGTGACCTCCATATTGGGTGATGTTTTCCCTCCTCTCACCCGCCTCACATATGACAACAATACCAGACGAACGTTTGCTGCACGAAAACTCACCCAGCGAATGATCGGCAGACGATTGTTTGCTAGTCGATCCTCGCTAGACTAACGCTAGCCTGACGAAAGTTCGCCAGCTCTCAGCAGCAACTTGATATGTTATTTTAGCCAAGCCTATAGATTCCTTCACCGTGCAAGAACCAACAGCTAGGCACAGTGCTGAAGAGCATCCTACTTGTGTTGCTACAAAATTCATCAACTTGAGTGAGAGAAGAAGACACATCAGAAGACCTAAAATACGGATGATTTACCCCATGAAGAAGACTGGGTACTGTACCGCTACCCCATGAAGAAGACTGGGTACTGTACCGCTACCCCATGAAGAAGACTGGGTATTGTACCGCTACCCCATGAAGAAGACTGGGTACTGTACCGCTACCCCATGAAGAAGACTGGGTACTGTACCGCTACCCCATGAAGAAGACTGGGCATGAAGAAGACTGGGTACTGTACCGCTACCCCATGAAGAAGACTGGGTACTGTACCGCTACCCCATGAAGAAGAAGACTGGGTACTGTACCGCTACCCCATGAAGAAGACTGCACTGTACCGCTACTCCCATGAAGAAGACTGGGTACTGTTACCGCTACCCCATGAAGAGACTGGGTACTGTACCGCTACCCCATGTGAAGAAGACTTGGGTGCTGTACCGCTACCCCATGAAGAGACTGGGTACTGTACCGCTACCCTTGAAGAAGACTGGGTACTGTACCGCTACCCCATGAAGAAGACTGTGTACTGTACCCCATGCTACCCCATGAAGAAGACTGGTACTGTACTACCCCATGAAGAAGACTGGGTACTGTACCGCTACCCCATGAAGACTACTCCCATGAAGAAGACTGTGTACTGCACTGCTACCCTGAAGAAGACTGACTGCACTACCGCTACCCCATGAAGAAGACAGATGCTGTACCGCTACCCCATGAAGAAGACTGGCACTGTACCGCTACCCCATGAAGAAGACTGGTACCCCATGAAGAAGACTGAGTACTGGCACCGCTACCCCATGAAGAAGACTACTGTACCGCTACCCCATGAAGAAGACTGGGTGCTGTACCGCTACCCCATGAAGAAGACTGGTACTGTACCGCTACCCCATGAAGAAGACTGTGTACTGTACCGCTACCCCCATGAAGAACCGCTACCCCATGAACTGGGTACTGTCCCGCTACCCCATGAAGAAGACTGGGTGCTGCGATGCCGCTACCCCCATGAAGAAGAAGACTGCACTGTACCGCTACTGAAGAAGACTGGGTACTGCTACCCCATGAAGAAGACTGGTACTACAATCTCCATGAAGAAGACTGCACTGTACTGCTACCCCATGAAGAAGACTGACTACTGTACCGCTACCCCATGAAGAAGACTGGGCTGTGCTACCCCATGCTGGGTACTGTACCCTACCCCATGAAGAAGACTGGGTACTGTACCGCTACCCATGAAGAAGACTGGGTGCTGTATGAAGAAGACTGGGTACTGTACCGCTACCCTGTACCGCTACCCCATGAAGACTGCTACTCCCATGACTGGGTACTGTACTGCCATCTCCATGAAGAAGACTGGGTACTGTACTGCTACCGCTGGGCACCCGCTATGAAGACTGGGTACTGTACCGCTACCCCCATGAAGAAGACTGGGTGCTCTGCCGCTACCCCATGAAAGAAGACTGGAGCTGTACCGCTACCCCATGAAGAAGACTGGGTACTGTACCGCTACCCCACGAAGAAGACTGGGTACTGTACCGCTACCCCATCTGGGTACTGTACCGCTACCCCATGAAGACTGTGCACTGTACCGCTACCCCACGAAGAAGACTGAAGACTGGGTGCTGCACGCCGCTACCCCATGAAGAAGACTGGGTGCTATGGGCTACCCCATGAAAGAAGACTGGCACTGTGGGTGCCACACCCCATGAAGAAGACTGGTACTGTACCGCTACCCCATGAAGAAGAGACTGGGTACTGTACCGCTACCCATGAAGAAGACTGGGTACTGTACCGCTACCCCATGAAGAAGCTACCCATGAAGAAGACTGGGTGCCTGTGCCGCTACTGTACTACCCCATGCTACCCTGCTATGAAGAGACTGGGTACTGTACCGCTACCCCATGAAGAAGACTGGCCGCTACCCCATGTGTGTACTGTGCTACTACCCCATGAAGAAGACTGTGTACTGTACCGCTACCCCATGAAGAAGACTGGGTGCTGTACCGCTACCCCCCCCCATGAAGAAGACTGGAAAGAGACTGTGTACTGTACCGCTACCCCATGAAGACTGAGTACTGTACCGCTACCCCATGAAGAAGACTGGGTACTGTACCGCTACCCCCATGAAGAGACTGTGTGCTGTACTGCTACCCCCATGAAGAGACTGTGTACTGTACCGCTACCCCCATGAAGAAGACCCCATGATGTACCGCTACCCCCATGAAGAGTCTGGGTACTGTAAATACCGCTACCCCATGAAGAAGACTGAGTACTGTACCGCTACCCCACGACAGAAGACTGGGTACTGTACCGCTACCCACGAAGAAGACTGGGTGCTGTACTACCACTGGGTGCTGTACCCACCCCAGAAGAAGACTGGGTACTGTACCGCTACCCCTCGAAGAAAAGACTGGTACTGTACCGCTACCCCACGAAGAAGACTGGGTACTGTACCGCTACCCCATGAAGAAGACTGGGTACTGTACCGCTACCCCACCCATGAACTGTGCCGCTACCCCATGAAGACCTCACAGAAAGAAGACTTGGTTACCTCACGAAGAAGATGGGTATCAAATGCCGCCCCTTGAACAAGACTGTACTGTACTGTTACCTCACGAAGAAGACTGTACTGTACCGCTACCCCACGAGAAGACTGTACTGTACCGCTACCCCACGAAGAAGACTGGGTACGTACCGCTACCTCATCGAAAGAAGACTGGCTACCCCGAAGAAGACTGCACTGTACCGTTACCTCAATGAAGAAGCATGCCTGTACCGCTACCCCTTGAACAAGACTGGGTACTGTACCGCTACACCTTGAACAAGACTGGGTACTGTACCGCTACCCCACGAAGAAGACTGGGTACTGTACCGCGACCTCATGACGCCAAGCCCTCATTTCCTCAGATCTTGTCAAATATTATGAATAAATGAAAGGCTTTCCTTTTTTAAATATACAATCTGATACAGCAAAAATATATTTGCTCCCGGCAAGCTAACTAGTCTCTCCTTAATACTAAATCACACAACATTAATTTAATATATATATATATATATATATATATATATATATATATATATATATATATATATATATATATATATATATATATATATATATATATATATATATATATATATATATATATATATATATGGTAATACTGAACATAGAATGTAAGGACAATTAAGGCATGCAATAAATATTCTGTTTCCATAATTATTATATCTCTATAAACCATTAGCTAAACATAACACAACACTGACCTTATTTTGGGAGGTTTTTGAAAAGCGCTTCAGAAGTGCTCTTCAATAAATATAATTTGATCGTCTTTCAAAATATTTTTATCCGATTCATGGTGCACCAAGTGTATCCGTAAATGAGTAATTCATTTATAGAAAACTGGTAACAGTTTTCCTTGGATAAAGGTGTAAGTAAAGACAATCTCAATAGTCTACAATAAGTTTTCATCCATTAATCTTTTACCTCGTGGAACGTGAAGAACCTTGAATAGTCTCTACTCCTCTTCGCTACTGTAACAATTCTCTCATAAGCTAAACACTCCTATTACACTTCACATAACCTTTGGTCCTCTTCCCTAAGGGTTCACTAGATCCGACATTACCAAATATTGACCGAGCAGACAAATCCAAAATGAATGTCTATTGCAATTCACTGAGTTGGGGTTCCTTCCTGTTAACAGTGTTGGCGAGCTACAAGTCCCATGGGTGGCCTCAGGAGCTGGGCTGTTGTGTGGACCTTGGCCGGGGATGTTAAGTCATTAATTAACAGTGAGAATTGCATACAGCAGTTTTGTTTTTGTAGACTGTTCTTGTTAGTTTGATAGTGATTTTGCTAACTTATAGTCTTTTTGTTGACTTTTTGTTAAGATGATAAGAGTTTTTGCCAGCTGATGATCTTTCGTTTAGTGTTTTTGTTAAGCTATGTTCGTATCATAAAACACTGAGGAAATATCCCCCCCATTTCATAGAAATTAAATTTTCTTTCATTTATTACAAAACTCTGTCAATATTTCTTGTTTGTCTTATGACTGTGTGTTACATATTGCCAATATTCTTGCTTCTATGACTGAGGAAAGTGATACAAAAAATTTCCGGTCGATTATTATACTGAACTCGAACGGACTAACTGCTGTGTGAGGAATTACGTAAATAAAGTGTATAATTGAATGATTACAGTATTTCACCGTGAACATCTATGACATGTTTTCTCTTATATCTTCATAAAGTCTAGTCCACGTCAACGTTATAGACTCCATATATATATATATATATATATATATATATATATATATATATATATATATATATATATATATATATATATATATATATATATATCTTCCAATACTTTATTTACTCAACATATAAATTTCATTAAGTGCATATCATTCTGTATAACTTCAGTGTTTATATATATCAGTGTATTAGTGACGTGTACGTACAGAAGATCAGTGCAATGCTTCACTCTGACAAACTCTAACTATGAATCCTTACAAAGATATGTACCAAACTAAATTTGAACTGTACATCGTATATCAAACAAAACAATATTAAAAAAAAATCTAATTACCGTACTGTATTCTAAAATGATTGAACCTTGCAGAACAACCCCCCTTTTTGTTTTCTTGTTCAAGGTTCTGAGAAGGTTTGAGGGTGAATATATATATGGAATGATTAAAGTTTGAGTCAGTTCTGTTATGGTAAACTGTTGGAGATGATGCCACTCTTCCACCCAAATTAGGAGTATTCATGAACAGTTCAGCGTTGTATAGTAACCACCAATTATTATAAACCATACGTTGAAGAAAGATATGTTCTTTTTTCAGTATTCCTGGAGATAGATGATGGCACCACAAGAATGTTATAATAAGTTGAGAATCTTGATGGTATAGTATATTCCCAACCTTAGTGAAGGAGACGCGCCATCACCACAGATAAACATATAATAAAACAAATTATCATATAAAAAATAGCAGTGATAGCAACAACAATAATATTGATAAAAATAATAATGACAACAATATTAATAAATATAATAATAATAATAATAATAATAATAATAATAATAATAATAATAATAATAATAGTAATAATAGTAGTAATAATAATAATAATAATAATAGTAATAGTAATAATAATAATAATAATGATAATAATAATAATAATAATAATAATAATAATAATAATAATAATAATAATAAAAATAATAATAATAATTAGACCCATAATAAAAAAATAAACTTTGGTTTTTGATTTCCTTGAGACATTGCCAAGACGCACAACATTACCATACATGTACAGTACAGTATAAAGCCAGGGGGGGAATTCAGAATGCATCAACGCTTTGCTATTATCAAAAAAAAAATGCATGATATATAAAGAAATATTGTCATTTTAGACCAGATGAAGTATCCTGTACTACACTAATACTGAAACACTAACGCATCCATTACCTCCAGTTTACTTTTGTACTAAGGGATGAGAGAGCGAATTAACTTGATATAGAACAGAAAACTAAGTACTGTATGAAGACCAGGCTGCTCTGAGGTGGTGTGTGCATTCTACCTCATCACTGATCGCTCCGTGGAACTGTTCCTATTGTTTCACTTAATGGATGTTTTCACTATAGTTACATATAATAGATATTTTCACGATACAGTAGTTTCACATAATGGATGTTTGCTCTATAGTTTGATATAATGGATGTTTTCACTATACTGTACTAGTAACATCATAATATAGGTGTATATATACGGTATCTAGTTTTCATTACTCTAACCTAACCCTTAGCATAAATATAACTCTTTTTAAGTACAACAAACTTTGCATTAGGTACAGATAACAGTTTTATGTCAGTGTATACATTCGTGGCAAAATTACTTATACAGCCACTTGTGTTTAAATATCTCCAATAATCAAGACACACACATAGATAATTATTTCATTACCTTTTCTAATTAATTTATATTATATTCGTTTGAATTAATAGATATTTTAAAATTTTTTATAGTCGTTTTTCTTTTGTAATGGTTTCCTATATGTGGCAGTAACTTAAGTCGGCGTCTAGTGTTGGTTTCATAGACACGCAATCTTCAAACTACTGTATGTGGGAATGGTGGCCGCAGAAACTCTCTCACTCTCTCACTCACACACACACACACACACACACACGCGATCTGTCTGAATGTAAGTTATTAATTTTCTTATACCAACCACCACGTCTTGTCACTTCTCTTCATGAATTATTACTTTCTAACTAACGTATCACTGCAAATTTAATGCCAAGACCAAACTGAAGGAACACAGGTAAGTGCTGTTCTCTGTACGTGTCCCATTCTACTGTTTATATCAAGTCTTTTTTGGTACATAAATCCAGGTTGTGTTAAACTCCTCAGTAGTACTCTCTAATTGCCTTTGGTTTTTTTTGTTAGCTGTAAATATATTCTTACACTTTTTAAATGTTTTGAGTTCGAAGCCCTTCAAGTTATATGTTTATGTTATAAGAGATTTTTTGGTATACAGTAACTCTTTCGTTTCTTGCTGTATTTGTTCCTTGTTAAAAGAGTTCTTCTCGTTAAAACTGCTCCATGATAAACCAGTTCCTCTTCTTAAAACCTGTTCTATATCACACCAGTTCCTCCTGGACCAATTTTTCTCAATTTTCACTTCTTGCCTCAAGTTGTGCTCCCTATCGCGAGAAAAATTCCTGCATCTTTATTTTCAATACGAGTTTTCTTTATGTATACAGTATATATATCTTTAGACAGGCTTAAAACACTTCCACCCAATTCTCCTTCCACTCTCCTCCTTCCCGCTCATTTAGCCTTCTGTTCCTCCTCTTCCTCTTCTTCCTCTTTCTCTGCCTCCTTTCTCATAGAGGGCGTGGCGGGTGTCGGGTCGTCGTGAAACAAGGGGTTCTTCACCTCCATCTCGCCAGTCTGTGGAGAAAATGACCAGTTAGTGACACGCCAAAGTAAACTATAGTAGATGATAATGGTAAATGCCTAACAATAACTCTGAAAACACTAACGGAATCTAATATATGATAAACAATAGACACCGGTACTTGTATTAAGATTTATAAGGAATTATGATAAATAGTAAATAATGGAAGTGAAGACTAAAAGATTAAAAAAACAACAACTAACACCCAAATTTAGAAGACCATATAATAAAACAGAAGAAAAAATAATATAAAAAAATACATTTACAAAGAGAGTGGTTGTCTGTAGGTCAAAAGATTAATCCCCCCACACCTCCGGAAACTGTCAACTTAGGACGGGAGAACCCCGAATTTAATTTAGCAGCTACTTATGAACAATTTATTGCGACAATCAATAATGCCCAAAATAAACACATCCCTAAAAGAAAATTCAGATCGATACGGAACCAACCAAAATGGATGAATAATAGACTCTTAGATCTTCTAGGGAAAAATAAAGGAGTATATAGAAAAGTTAAGAAAGGCGAAAATCACTTACTTGGTTACTATCAGAACCTAACAAGACAGGTAAAAACAGAAATTAGGAAAGCAAAGAGAAATTATGAAATCAAGGTAGCAAACGAATCGAAAAATAACCCCAAAGCTTTTTATCAACTGTATAAATCAAAGGTTAGAGACACAATAGGTCCCCTTAAAACTACGACAGGAGAAATGACTGATGATGAGTTAGAAATGTGTAGTACGTTAAATAGTCATTTTCGCTCTGTATTCACAAATGAAAACCTAGCACAGTTTCCAGAAGTTCATAAGGTATATAACGACAGTATAGAAAATATGTTGATGAATATCAATATTACTAGTAACGATGTGCTTTAAGTAATTAACAAACTGAAGCCTCATAAATCGCCTGGTCCAGACGAGGTATATGCTAAAATATTAAAAGAATGTAGAGATGAGTTGAGTAATCCATTAGCAGTTTTATTTAATAAGTCATTAGAATCGGGCCTAGAGCCAGAAGCTTGGAAACTTGCAAATGTAGTTCCGATTTTCAAAAAAGGTGATAAATCAATTGCATCAAATTACCGTCCCATTAGTCTCACATCAATCATAGGCAAGTTGCTTGAGTCAATTATTGCTCCGAAAATCAGAAGCCACCTTGAAACATTCAACTTAATTCATTCTTCTCAGCACGGGTTCACCCGGATTTTCTTGTCTCACAGATTTGCTTAGCTTTTTCTCAGAAGTATATGAAGCGGTAGATAATGATAAGTCATATGATATAATTTATTTAGATTTCAGTTAAGCATTCGATAGAGTCCCTCATGAGAGATTGATAAGGAAGGTAGAAGCACATGGAATAGGTGGATCATTATTAAAATGGATTAGGTCATGGTTAACTGGTAGGAAACAAAGAGTCAGCATAAATGGATTTAAGTCAGACTGGGGTGCGGTCAAAAGCGGAGTTCCCCAGGGATCTGTATTAGGCCCTCTGCTGTTTGTTATATTCATTAATGATCTTGATTTAGGTATAACTAGTAGGATTAGTAAATTTGCAGATGATACCAAAATGGGGAGAGTGATAAATTCAGACAGTGACTTTGAACACCTTCAAAGAGATCTAGATACCTTACATGAGTGGTCAGTAGACTGGCAAATGAATTTTAATACTGATAAATGCAAGGTACTACAGATAGGGAAGACGAATACAAACGTTAAGTATAAACTAGGTAACACGGAAATAGAAAACTCAGATTGTGAAAAAGATCTAGGTGTATTTGTTAGCAACGACTTGAAACCTAGAAAACAATGTATTAGCGTTCGCAACAAGGCAAACAGGATTCTTGGGTTCATATCTAGGAGTTTGAGTAACAGAACTGCTGACGTTATCTTGAAACTTTACCTAGCATTAGTGAGGCCACACATGGATTATGCGGTTCAATTCTGGTGTCCTTATTATAGAATGGACATAGATTCTTTGGAGAGAGTACAAAGAAGAATGACAAAAATGATCCATAATATTAGAAACCTTCCATATGAAGAAAGACTGAAAAGCTTAGGCTTGCATTCATTAGAGAGGCATAGAGTTAGGGGAGGTATGATAGAGGTGTTCAAGTGGGTAAGTGGGATTAACAAGGGTAAAATGGAAGATGTTCTGAAGCTCAGAAATAACGAAATAACTAGAACAAATGGCTTTAAATTAGATAAATTCCGATTCAGAAAGGATATAGGCAAGCACTGGTTTGGTAATAGAGTTGTGGATATGTGGAATAGGCTACCGAGTGCTATAGTAGGATCGGGGACGCTAGGGAGCTTCAAGACGAAGTTGGATAGGCACATGGAGGTGCTGGGATGGGTGTGAAAGGGATCTGCCCTGTATGGGCCAGTCGGCCTCCTGCAGTATCCCACTTTCTTATGTTCTTATGTTACTTAAAAGAGATTAACTTGTTGACGTAGATGTTGGGAGAAGTGATAAAGTGAGAAAAAATCCAAAGATAATTAGTTCTATATATTTTCTCTTTTTTCTTTTCTTAATTTTATGAAATTATTCAGTTGTTACGTTGCTTCCTTCCTTAACGGACCAAGATTCACATCTGGTCAGCATTATCATTACTTTACCTTATTCTGAGAACTTTGTGATAATTTGATCTCAGAAGGAAATAAGTATCTTTGATTAATATTAAAATACATCAGACATTGCATACGAATGAAATATAGTATATATATTATTCTATTAGATACGTGCGGTAGGTTATGAAAGGTAAGCACAATGAACATTTAATTAGTTACAGATTATATTACAGTTTACGTCCACGGGTCACATCTAAACTCTTTCCACACATCTCAATTAATGTTGAATGAAACTGATGTTATCTTGGAAGAACTGTGTCGGAGCTCTGGGTTCACTACAGGTGTCGCCCACTGCACGCCACACCTCCTCAGATCATGATATATTGATGAGGAGTTATTTCGTCTTTCCCAGCAGTAGGGATGAGCTTGCAAGCCCTGAGGTGTGAGGGCAAGAGGCTAGCTGTATCCATATACCCTCCGGCCTCAGACATTCACCTTCAACCATTCATAGAGACGGGCGGAAGGAGGGGCCTGGCGGGGAGAGGGGCCTGGTGGAGGGAGGGGATGGGCGGAGGGAAGGGATAGGCGGAACGAGGGGACGAAGGAGGGAAGGGCCGGGCGGAGTGAAGGGCCGGGCGGAGTGAAGGGCCGGGCGGAGTGAAGGGCCGGGCGGAGGGAAGGGCTGGGCGTAGGGATGTGCTGGGTGTAGAGAAGGGACGGGCGGAGGTGAGGGACTAGGCGGAGGTGAGGGGCCAGGCGCAGGGAAGGGTCGGGCAGAGCGGAGGTGAGGGGCCAGGCGAAGTGACGAGCCAAGGGGTGCGTTGGTCGTTGTCTCAGATCAACAAAAGATAAACATTCCTCGTAAATGAAGAAACAAGAGCGCACCAAACTGCTTAATTAAACCAAAACGCCAAACAAACACACGGAAAATACCAGCATCAAAATTACACACTGAGACTATTACCTTAACTAGATACGTCCACTCAGCACTAAATAAAAGACTCAAGTGAGTTAAAATAGTGTTTATTCTCCAGTTTCTGTACCTGAATAATATTTAGTGATATGTGAACTAATTAAGATATAGATTTAGTGTAAGTTTGATGTATCATTCACCATAGCCTTTGTTTCTATGTATGTATGTATGTATGTATGTTTTTCTGAGTGTATAATAACGTCTACACACACACACACACACACACACACACACACGTCACTCACACGTCACTCACCGGGGCTAGGCCAGGACACTCGTACACCGTGTACTCATTCTCCTCGCCCTCCTCCTCCGAGTCCACGTCTGAGGTTGACCCGTGACGCTCTCCTCCCGACGACCTGTAAGATGGACATCACTTAATGGGCAATACTTGCTGGGCAATGGATCAGTGAACAATAGCTGCTGGGCAATGGATCAATGGGCGTATCTTTAAAACTATCATGTTTCTTTTTATCGAGAATAAGTTAGAAATTAAGAAAAATGCAAAGTCGCTCTATGGTAATTTATGTGAAATTTCGATATGAATAAAAAATATGTTCCTTTAACTGTTCTATATAATAAATATTGCAAAATGACAATGCATACAGACCTTGAGAAACGCTTCTGCTATAATCTTTAATAAAATACCTATACATATATTTGTATCTGTTCCCATCCTGGTAAAAAAATGAATGAATGCAAGTTGAATAAACTGGACCAAACACAAATAGGTTACTGGGTGAGGATGAGGAGCAGGCAGGTGAACACGACTCACTTCTCAAGGGCTATCATCTGCTGCTTCTGGTGCTGGTAGTGGTACATGTGGGCCGACTGAGCCAGTTTACGGTCCCCTGAAGAAGGTGAGAGGTCCTTGTTGGGGCCAGTTACTCCGTAGGCCGGGTACTCCGCATCTTGTGCTGCCTTGTGACTCTTGTTCAGCCTGTAACGACACAAGAATTATACGTTAATAAATTTAATGATACTGTGTGTTTGAGAGAGAGAGAGAGAGAGAGAGAGAGAGAGAGAGAGAGAGAGAGAGAGAGAGAATACACTGCCAATCCTCTGAGCATAATGGATTAGCTTAATGAATAAGGTACCTTCAGTCCAACTCCTGAATACAATGACTAAATCACACTCGACAGTCACTCACTCTAGCAGCAATGAAAAAATCTATCATCATCTTGTTTACCAACACCTGTGTGTGTGTGTGTGCGCGCCAG